ATAACTGCTCACAGACATATGTGGAACCAAATATCACTAAAATCTTTGTGGCAAACTTTCTGAAGTTCTAAAATGCTTGAGGAAGGTATGAAAATATCCAGATTCCCCTACTTCTAGGTACTTTCTCTTGAGTGTTGAGTCAATCTGCATTTCCTGTAGCTTCATCTGTAGACTTTCCTCTGTCTGAGCAAAATCAGAAGTGAATGGTGCTGAGAATAATGCAAACTGATCTTCACAAAATTCCCTTGAAATTTCTTTGACAGCAATTCTAGGTAATTGTCGTACTTAGCAAAGATAAATACAGACTCGGTATTAGCTATTTTTTCAACTCCTTGCATATAGGAAAATGAATCAAGTTTTCATGTGACAACTGGGACTTCAGTAAAGCTAATTTTGCAATGAAACACTTGATATCATCATATAACTGAGTGATTAGCTTATTTTTACCTTGTAATTTCAAATTAAGGTCACTTAATTGGGCAGTAATATCCACTTATAAAGCTAGATCTTGGAGCTAGCTCTCATCTTTCAATTTATCTATGCTCTGACACTTCATCTCCAAAAACAACAATTTCGTGTCGCAATAAAAATCTTTTCCAGTACCTTGTAACATGAAAGCCACCGAACTAAGTGAACAGGTTATTTACGTCTTCCAATAACTGTCTAAACTGACGCTGATTCAGAGTATGACTTCTGATATAGTTCACTGGTTTTGTGACAAAACTCAACATATGATCAAATTTTAAAATCTTGGAACATGAGTTCTGTTAATGAATTATACAGTGAAAATGATTGAATGTTGAATCTGGACATATGTTTTCTATTTTTGTACCTATCTTGGTAGCAACACCATTATGTCTCCCAACCATATTGGCAGCACCATCAGTAGATAAACACAAAGTTTACTCAAATAAAGGCCATACTCATGGAGAAGCTGTTCAACTTTCTCAAAAATGTCCTGGCTTGTTGTAGTATCGTGCATTGGGACCAGTTCAATTAGTTCTTCATAAATTTGAAATTCGTTGCCATAATCCCTGATGAAAATGGCAAGCTGTGCAATTCAAGCTATGTCAACAGTCTCATCGAGAGCAATAGAAAAATGTTCAAAACTTGGTGATAAAGTCTTCAACGGTCGACTCAAATCACCTGCCATTTCATCAATCTGTTCAGCAACAGTGTTGCTGCTTAATGAAATGTCTTGAAATAAGTGTGACTTCTCTGGACAAACAATTTCAGCTGTTTTTACAAGACGTCGCTTTATGAAATCTTTTTCACTGTAAGATTTTCAAATGATGACAATCATTTTGCAGAGTTCAAAGCTTGCAGTAACAGAACTAATGTTGCCTTTCAGAATTTTTGTAAAGCAACTCTGTTTCTTTGTTAACTTAACCTTGAATTCCTTCACTTTTGAAACACGCATATCTCCTTCATATTTATCATAAAATCGATGGTTTGTTTCATAATGTCTTTTCACATTATATTCTTTTGGCGTCAAATTGCAGTGGTTGCAAAGCAAACAGTTTATCTTTTCATCAACATTGGTACAAAATGACTGTAATTCTCACTTTTCTTGAAACACATGCCCTTCTTCAGATAATTTTCTCTTTTTACAAGATGAAGTAGAATTCGACATTTTTAAGGCGAAATATTACAAAATTATGAATGTTTTCACTTTACATTTGTTTTTATTTAATTGTCAAGGATGATCACATGATTAACCGGAAGTTAAAAATAGTCCCTGACATTCGAAAACAAAAAAACATTGAGATAGAATAGACAATCTAATCATACCAATTGAAAAAACAATCTCACTGTTTTTAATAATTTGCATTACCAACATAGACAAAATTCTTTATATACCACGGCTATAGCCTTTGTGAAGGCCGCCAAGATGCATGTAAAGGGTTGCCAGTTTAACACACCTGATTAGATTTAGTTTACATAGCTATATAGATAGATTTACTGGAGAGAAACAGATAGATAAATAGTTCTAGTAACGCGTGATAGGTATAATGCAGAGAGTGAGATAGATAGATGTAATGAAGAGAGTAATATATATATATATATATATATATATATATATATATATATATATATAATGTATATAGATATACTGAAGATAGATATACTGTAGATAGATCTATTGACAGAAATATTTAGAATAGAGATACTGTAGACAGATAAATAGAAAGATATACTGATGATAGATGTATATACTGAACATATATACATACAAATACGGAAGTTAGATATAAATACTGAAGGTAGATATGCCGAAGATAGATAGATAGATAGATAGATAGACTGAAGAGGCTGAGATAGATATACTGTAGATAAATATATAGAAAGATATACTGCAAATAGATTGAATGAGCGATAGATGTACTATATCTCTCTCTCTATCTATCTATCTATCTATCCATCTCTATCTATCTATCTTCTATCTATCTATCTATCTATCTATATATATATATATATATATATATATATATATATATATATGCATGTATGTATGTATGTATGTATTATAGATAGATAGATAGATAGATAGATAGATAGATAGATAGATAGATAGATGTAGTGAATGGGATAGATATATAGTTTGATTACCATTACCGTAAGCCGAGATGCCCTTTTAAATAGGTTAATTTAGTTGGGCACAAGGTTACAGAAATAGGACAACCAGTGATGATCGAACTCAGGTTGTCCAACATATTTACTCTATATTGGCACGAGGTTATGAGTATAGGACTCATCATGTACAAGTGCAGCTTGATGGCCATTATTGCTCGATGAGTTGCCCTAGATATGTTTGAATTGGCTCGAATTAAACCCAATCTTCTCGCAGTAACTCTAACGGTCGTTATATTATTTTATTGCTGAACAGTAGATGCTTGCGTACATGTCATCAGACTATTCGATTTATTTCAATTTCAATCAATGTACGATGGTTTGTAAAGTCATTAACGTTAGATGACTGACGGACGGATGGCGGTCGATATAGGTGCTCAGATTTCGTACATAGTCATGTACATCGGAAACAGAGACTTTGAAGGATTTATCTCGATTGTTATAGAACCACTCCAATCGGAGTGCATATCTCCCAGGCCTTTGCTAAAGGTTTTACAGTGGAAACTGGACACCATACTTTAAGTCGTTTTCTCAACTTTTTTTTCTCCGTGGACCATTTTTGGTGTTAAAAACATTTCAGGTCCGCAGAAGCGCAAATAGAAATACATTTTATTTACAAAAGCAAAATATAGTAGAAAATATAAATGCAAACAAATAACGAGACAGTTTCTGGTGTCTCTAGTTCCATTTAAAATATTTCGCAGGGTCACTTTTGGCCCTAAGGGTCCACGTTGAGAATCCTTGCTTTAAAAATGCTTTTAATGATGCTTTAAAAGATGGTGATATTGTCCAGCGATTTGAGACATCGGCTTCCGGAATATTTAAGCGGAATTTAAGTTTTGTGAGGAAATGCAAAAAAACATAAAAACACTTTGTAACGCGGTTCGACCTTCAGAATGATTTCATGAGACAAAATAATGTTCTTATTGGTGAATTCCATTAATTCCTCCTATACGGCAGTAAATGCTGGACAATCTCCTCCCAAATGAAGAGGCGCTATAAATGTGGTTCTAAAGAAGAACGCTGAGAATATATATATATATATATATATATATATATATATATATATATATATATATATATATATATACCGGGTGTAACAGCAAAATTGTCCCCCCCACAAATTTTATTTTTTTAATTTTTTCTGTTAACTTTATGTCTGATTAACCTATCCCTCACTTCACTGCCTTTTCCAAAAATTGAACATGTCATATTTGTCTACAATCATGATACATTTATCGCTGACATATTTTCCGCAATCGTCAATGATGGCCATGTCTATGTCCCGGTTTAACATGACTTGAAAAAATAGCTCACCCACCTCCACCCTCTGAGGTTACTTTTCTATTTAGCGTAGATCTGACATTAAATTGGTTAATCAAGACATACCCACAAGTCTATTTTTAATTTTGACGTTATGTACTCCACCACATTAACTTTCAGAAAAGAGGTTATTGAACATGAAAGTTTTGTGTAGCAATTTTCAGCATATTTTCATTATAATCTTTCATAATAAAAAATACTTTTATATATATATATATATATATATATATATATATATATATATATATATATATATATATATATATATATATATATATATATATATATATATATATATATATATATATATATATATATATATATATATATATATATATATATGAGCGGCGCTATATTGAGTCTAATTTGCTACTGCTGCGTCACCGAGGCCCGTTGGAGCAGTTGGTATGATGTTTGGACGATAACCTGTATGTCAGGGGTTTCAATTCTCGTTAGTGGATGCGCACTGCTGATGTGTCCCAAATATAATGCTTTCTGTTGAGGTTTCAGAATCGATGAATTACTTAAATTTATATATGCATATGTGCACGTTTCGTTGAATATGAGATACATCGTTCTTTGACTTAGTTTTTTTACACAATTTTCCATGTGAGCTTATAATTTTTATTCTTTTCGGAGGATAATTTATATAAAAACTGTCCAATTGTTCTTTCTTTCCGAGCGCTTTCGGCTATACATTTAGCCATTTTTTTAGGTTGAAATATATTAACTGTTAACAAGAAATGAATTGTTGTATTTATATAGTTTTCATTTTCAAAACACGGTCAAGATATTGTGTCTATGTTCATAGTTGATATTATTGAGTGTTGTTTTTATTAATAAGGCTTCCATTATTTTTAGACTTTTTTTACATGTAGGCAAAGCTATTACATTTGTGTTATCAGCAAGTGTGTTACAAATAAAAGATAGACGCTTCTGTGTAAGCCGTTTTCTGGATATTGGTAACTTCATTTTTAATAAGAGTTTGTTTTTTTTTCTTGTCTATGTCGACAATATAGTTAAATTTCCCAGAATAATTCTGTAGATAAGACAAACTGGTATAAAAATGACAATTGGAAAAAAAATCTTAGTTCTAGGCCGACGCGATTTTAAATACACACACACATACATATATATATATAGGTAACTATACTCGTTTCGAAAAACCTTCGAATTTTTGATTTGCCAATAATCAAATCAATCCCGAGGGAAAAAAAAAAGGTTTTAAAAGAAGAAAGAGCTAGAAACATGAAAGTCTGTCGAAAAAAATCGCACAGATACAGGTTTAAAGCCCAAAGAAAAAAACCCGAACCGAGTAAACAACTAAAAGGAGCTCAATACAACCGTAGAGCAGGGCTAGCTTTCCCTGACGATCCGCTTAGGTGAAACCTGGGTAGGTTTGTCTGGCTCACTAGGTTTATATATATATATATATATATATATATATATATATATATATATAGAGAGAGAGAGAGAGAAAGAAAGAAAAAAAAAAGAAAGACCGTTTTTAAAGATCTACAAATCGCTGGCATAGTAATCTTATACTGTTCGATAAGGTGCTTCACTCCCTTCGTCCTTTCGAAAAGTAAACTGAAAGAACATTCAGTCAGTTATGTGCCATGCGTGATACACGCTTAGGCGATCATATATTTTTCGATATATGACTGACGAGGCAGATTTATTCCCGCAGCAGTTTGCCATTTCTTTCAAGGGTAGAGAATCCGATCTGTTCTGCTATTTACCCATAGCTGGGGGGAGAAGAAGAGGATTCATACCTTTTCCAAGTATATTAGAACGTAAGTGAATGTAATGGATTCGACTGGAATTCGAACTCGGCTCTCCGATTCATTAATCCGAGGCGCTATCCATTACTCCACCTTAGAAAAAAGAGTTTCCTGTCTGTCACATTTAATGAAACATGTTTAAAAGAATGTTTGCTGCCCAAATATATATATATATATATGTGTGTGTGTGTGTGTGTGCGCGCGCGCGCGCGAAAAATTAATTATATTTTTTAAATTGATGAAATTGATGATCAAGTTATTCTAGATGACCATTTCGATAACATTTTATTGTGTAATCTTACAAAGTAATGGTTAACAAGCTAATCTAGCAGACCATTATTTGCTGAGTGTTCTGCATTTGTGGCCTTGTAGCAGAGACTTTAAAATGCTTAGCAGCAACCTATAAAAACTATCGTATAAATTCAGACTCCCGCTCACAGGATCGAATTTGATCTGACCTTATTTATATAAACATACCCAGATGTCGCGTTAAACTCTGACGTTTTCTTCAAAGAAAATGAATCTTTATGCCTAAAAGAGAGAGATGACATGTGCAGCTATGTGTGTGGTAGAAATGAAATAGAAAATGTAATGAAACATAACATGTGTAATTGAATAAAGAATAAAGATTTTATCAAGTGGGAAGGAAAAGGCAGAACATGTGTCCGCATTTGAAAAAAAAAGAAAAGAAATCCGTGCCTATGTTTTGTGCGCGCGGGTTTCGTTTTATGAAAGAAAGAGAAAAGCAACAGTAAGAGGAGGATAACAGAAGAAAAAACATATTTAGAATGAATAGATGTGAAAGATATGGCGATCAGATATATTGTCAGAATGATTGAAATCGTGAATGTAAACGAGCATGCGCAAAAGACAGAAAAAGAGAAACAGAGGCAAAAAAGATGACTGGTGTGTGCGCATGCGTATTTTATTGTGTCCTTGTGAGAAGACACATTTTCCATGCTTACAAATATCGTCTGATTCTTTGAGTTTAGCCGAGACGATTCAGCTATCTTTCTTCGTATCAGGCTGTTTGTTTCGACTAATATTCGCTGTTTATGAAAATTCCGCCTTTCACACGAAAAACGTACGATCATAAAATGATCAATAATAAAATGAATATACGATGTTATCAATTGCTTTTTGCAGTTTATCAATCCTTTACATGTTATTTAAAATCATAAAATATTTTTAAATTGTAATAATTTTCTGGGGAGATAATAATGGTTTAGTGATACAAGTCTTACTAATTAACCCATAGATGGGGAGAGAAGAGGCGGATTGATACCTTTCCCAAGTGAATATAACGAACCCAATGGAAATCGGCTCTCAACAATTAAAAATTCCGTGACATTATCAATTAAACCAGCCGCAAATCCAAGTTTACAGCGGATGCTTATCCCAAGCGGTTATCCATCTAGGTACTGGCCAGGTTTAACCTTGCTTAACTTTGGTTATCGTAAGCGAACCGATCTTTCAACATGATGTGACCGTAAGACAGGATATTATTTTTGATGAAACGTGATAACCTGTTTATAATTGTTTATCGTAAAAATCAAATCAAATAACTGTCTATATTTCTGAGATGAGGTATTGTAACTATTTACACTATTTACATCGTTCGAGCTGTTGTCCTCATCTTTGTTACCATATTCACGACGTTTCGGGCGTTGTACACGCCGTCCTTCTTCAGGTGATATAAGTTAGAATTTTGAACCGAACCCTTTATTTGGTAAACGGGGGTAGATTGGTCTAATTCCACGTGCCATGGAATCCAAATAAGCCATGGAACGTGGAATTAGGGCAGTCTGTATATGCATACCAAGTGAATATTACGTTCATAGTAACAATAGAATTTTACATCTCCATTAAAGGTTTAAGCACCCCATATATATATATATATATATGTGTGTGTGTGTGTGTGTGTGTGTGTGTAAGGTACTATTCGGGGAACGTAAGACGAAAATAACTTTTCTCAACATGAAAAATTGACAAAAATTGAGCCCCTTACTTGAAAATAGAGTGATATTGACAAATAGGCAAATTATCCGGCGAGAATGGGGAAAAACTGTATTCTTTAGCACGTAATTGTTCAATCTATCTGTTGAAATTACCTAAAAATCTAGGCTAGGGCCTGTATATATATATATATATATATATATATATATATATATATATATATATATATATATATATAGGTGTGTATTAAGAGACAGATCTATATATTATATTAGTGAATATACATAATATGCAACGTCGATAGCACAACCAGGTGTTTCATGCAGCTGCAGCAATCTTCTTGTATTGTAAGATTATATTTGCACCTGAAGATTGCAGCAACTGCTTGAAACACCTGGTTTATC